TAAAGTGTGTGTGAGAGAGAGAGAGAGATTATTTCAATTGAAAAAATCTTGTTTTGTGAGTTGATTTTTATCTGAATATATATATATATAAATATTAAAAGATAAAAAGTTATAAAAATCTGTTTACTTCAAAGTTTGCAACAATTTCCCATTGTGGTATAACATAATATTTGATTCCTTGAACAGCTCCATTTAATAATGAACTTTGAATAATTAATAGAAGAAGAACAATATATGGAAAAATCGCTGTAAAATAAGCAACCTAAATTTCTATAATTAATATAAAAGATTTTTGAAAATAAAATAAAACAAACTTTTCCAGATGATTTAATACCACGAATAATACATGCACCAACAATAATCCAAGCAATTAATAATGATAGAGCAGGATATAGTCGAGGTATACCAAAATCTTCAAATCTTTTACTCTTATTCAAAAGTAATTGACTAAAAATTAATAATAATTAAAAATTTATTTTCTGTCATTTTTTTTTCTTGTTTTCAACTTACAAAAAGAATTGTTCTGTAGCTGTAACTCGATCTTTTTCATCAATTTGTTCACATAAATATTCTGTTTTATTAATAAATTGTGATTCACTACAATTATATATTGTTCCATTAACTGTAAATGGTGAACTATCAATACCAGGAACAAAACATCTTTCATCATTCCACCAATTTTCACAGTTTTTCCATAAAAGATTTTTTCGAAATGATGCAATTAAATAAAATAAAGCCCAACTTATAATTACATTATAATAAAGCATACAAAGTACACTATTTATTATCATTGCAAATCCAACACCTTTAATAAATAATCATTTGAATTATGTTTTTTTTTATTAAATATTTTATGTTACCTTGCCATCCTTTAGCAAGTATAAATGCAGTTGCCGGACCTCGACTAGAAAATTGACCAAGTGCTAATTCAAGATAATAAATTGGTGCACCAATTAAAAAATATAATATAAAATATGGTATTAAAAAAGCACCTTTATAAATATTTAAATTAATTAAAAATAGAAAAACAAAAACAGAAAACAAAACGAACCGCCACCATTTTTAGCAGCTAAATATGGAAAACGCCAAACATTTCCAAGACCAACAGAATTTGAAATTAAAGAAAATACGAATTCAAGTGGATAATCCCATTCATGATCATCTTTTTCCTACATTAACATTAATTATTTAATTTAGTTTTTAAATAATAAATAAATAACCTCTTGTACTGCTGTTATTTTAACAGTTTCGGTCTTAGTTGATTGTGGAACGTTATCTACTTGACTAAACTATTACAAAAATATTTTATTATGGAATAATCAATGATAAAATAATAATTACCTTAGAAATTACTCTATTCATCATGATTTCTGACACATTTAAATAATGAACAAAATAAAGATATTAAATATTTTCCTGTCAAAATAATTATTCGATCAAATATAGAATTGTATTGTTAAATGAATATTTTCTATTAATAGACAAAACAAATCTTTTTTTTTTGTTTTTTTTATGACTGATATACAAATCAACTTCAAATAAAATAAAATAAAAAAAATAAAGTCTCATCTTCCTTATATTCTAGATAAATATTCAATGACCTATTGAAGAATGTTTGCAAAAAAAGATGTTTACTGTCTTTATAAATACCAAGGTAAACGACATTTTTTTCTTCTTCTAATGGATTAAACAGCTATCTTTTACCTAAAATGTCTCTATTAAAAAAGGTTGACAAATATTGAATGTCTATTTTCATATATTTAAAAAGTAAAAAAATAAAAATAAAAATGACAAAATAGTAAATCTATTCAAGACAATTCTATCGGACATATTGAAAATACATTTGTACTCAATAACTTCTCTCTTTTATTTTTACAAACTGTTTTCATATCGATAAAACTACACTTATTTGTGAAGTGGTGATAACCGAGTAAAAAGAAAAATAAAATTTTTACTTTTACGTAAGATCAATTTTCTTCTATGTCATTTTTAAAATTAATCTAAGGTGAACACACTAAACAATTACACCATACTTATAAATGATCATATATGACAAGATAATATATCATCTGTCATCATAGAATTGGCCTCGACAATTAAACCATTTTCTCTCTTGACTCCTATATACGACACAAACATTACTTATTCATTTTCACCTACTGTCCTATACAGAACTGTTTACTCTCATTGGCCTCCATATCAATGATTCTATACAGTTACATGTTTAATTCTACACTATTTTCCTATATGATTCATATTTTCCTTGACAAATTGTGTCTTGAAAGATTTTTTCGGAATAATAATAAACATATATTTCAAATATAATATATTACAAACACAACACAACACAAATTGAATATTTTATAACAAGAAATAAAACGAAGAAAAAGAAAAACAAACATATTCAATAGAATACATTAACAATAGGAAGGATATATATTGAAACTCAAAATCATTTATCAGATTTAAATCAAGTTAAAAGTCTCACAGAAAAACAAACAAATATTCAAAACATTAGTTAATTACGAATATCCCGAACTAAAATAGTCGAATAGTTTAAGGTATTCACGAATCTTTGTTATGTACCAGCAATTCAACATTTAAGCATGATTTATTTTACTTGTTTTTTATCATGGTTGGATAGAGTTTGTCGAGTTACATTATAGACAATAGATGCTACAAATAGTAAAAACAAAAACGGTCTAAGAAAAAAAGTCTCTGCTAACTTTAGTTTCAATTATAGGATAGAATAGACTTTTAAATTTTGACTTTCGTTAAATTTCTTATTCTATATTTGAAATATAGATTATCTTATGGAACTCGACAAACTCTGTTCAACAATAATAATGAAAAGAGAAAAATAAATCGTGTGGTTAATTGTTAAATTGTTACTGCATAACACAGATATGAAATAGCTCTAAAAATTGACTATATTAATATGTCATTTTTCTTATCAGTTCATATTTTAATATTCTTAGTTTTCCAGTAAGAAATTTAATTGAATCGAAATATATTCAATGCTGTTCAGTTTTGACACACACTCTTCATTTGATAATCAAAATGTTATTTATCTTTTTCGTTCTAAATACTTGTCAAACTTATTTAACAAATTTATATGAACGTTATTCGATTAGAAAATTAATGGATTTTCGTTTTAATATTGTTCAATAAAACAAGTGAAAATAGTTCGAATCCCATTAGAATTAGTAATCAACAACAATGATATTTATATAAAATTCTAAGTTATCATAAATGAAAAAGAAAATAAAAATAATTAATTACTATATTCAGTTTTTAATCGATGTTGATCTATTATATGACACATTAACTTGGATTCATCTACTTAGACAATGAAATTTTTAAATACATCAACAGAAAAAAATATTTCTAGAAATTTTTTAGTGTAACAATTATGATCTTAAAACATGTTGTTATCAATATTATTAATATTATTAAATGCACAATATATAAATCAATCAAAATTGAACATCTCAATTGTTTATAAGATCTAGAGAAAAACTTAAACAAATCAAATAGAAAATATTCACTTGATTTCTCCATAGAAGATTTGAGAACATGTTTGTTTTTGTTCAAGTAAAAAAAAAAAAAAAAAAAACAAAGAAAAATTTATTGACATAAGCACAGCAAATAAAAGTTAGTAAAAATTCTAATTTGATATTTTTTTTAGCAAAATTTAAAGTTGTTTAAGAATTAAAATTCTTCTTAATCAATTAAATAACTTTAAATCTTGACTCTCTATGATACTTTTTAATAATTGTATTTATCAATAAAAAGTATTATCTCATTATTCATTATGAGTGTGAAGAGAATAGTAATAAAACATTAGTTTTTTTTTTTAAATTTATTCACAATTGAAATCAATTGGTTAATTTTCACGAAATCCATTACATTTATTTTTTTGTTGAATTTCTATGAATTTTCTATTTATTTTTGACTTCATTTATAAAATAGATTGTTAAAACTAGGGTGGTGTGAACCGACGCCGACGTTTTTCTAAGTTGTCATCTATTTCAAGTTGGCTTTAGCTGGATTCAGACTCAAATCTAATCGTATATATATATATATATATACGATTTATTTTCCATCAATAGTTGTCATCATCTGTTAACATGACTAAATGAAGGATTAAGATTTCAGTTATCTATTGTATTCTTTTGTAAAACAATAAATCGAAAGTTAAGAGGTAACTGAAGTGTTCTACTTGAATAAACTAATATAAACTGTTCGTTATTCAGATATGATGTTACTGAATAAAAACTAAATATGAAATAAAATTTGAATATGGATGTTATATTTAGACAGATCTATCTGGAAGTATCTATAATTCTCTAACCAATATATTCGACGATATTAGAAATATAAATATAAGAAAAGACAAATATTTTCGATGTTGATTAATAG